CCTAGCCTTTAGAGCCAGTTGTTCTCACTGGTAGCTAAGCTAATTCACTTTTTCCGTTTCACCCGCAACCACCCAGTGTTCCCCCTGGCTTTTGTACCTTCCCACTGGTTATGCGCTCGTGGACTCGACAACTTTGACGAGTGGCACTTTGAGTTGACCACGATCGTCCTCCAAGGAGAAGGCCTGATAACTCAGGCGACGCAATGCACTGGCTAGCCATTAGCTAGTCCGCCTAGCCTTTAGAGCCAGTTGTTCTTACTGATAGCTAAGCTAATTCACTTTCCATTTCACCCGCAACCACCCAGTGTTCTCCCTGGCTTTTGTACCTTCCCACTGATACTACATTCCACAATGGAAGCATACCCAACGAGTTTGTCTACATTCAATAAGGTGGGGTAAGAAATGCACGATGGTTTTTGGATGTACAAACCCCCGGTAGTAGTACTCCTACTACACGTTAACATCTATATACAGTATGCATACCCGTACCGTCGACATCGCCGCGGTCAACACCAAACGTGCTCAGCGCTTGGGCCTAAGTACAAATGGATAGATATGTGAACGATAAAGCGTCATATCGAGTAGGTTGGACGAAATCGTAAACGCACCGATTGCAAAGCCATGCCCGTGGCGTCCAAGGTAGCCAGGCTGTCCTTTGGACATGGTCCAATGGATGACGCCTTGATGCGCTTGTGCTGCTGCTTGGGGTTTCGATGCGTTAACGCTGTTGTGGTGGTGGTCGCTGGGGGAGTTGGATCCGCTGCTACCTTTCTTTCTGTACAGACCACCCATGACTGATCGCGCGCTGGAGCTGTAGCTTGTAGAGATTTCCGACGCCATATCGTTGTCTCAAACGATCGACCTATTTGTTTTAAAGTGGGGGCTATTTTAAGCAAGTTCCATTCAAGGGAACTTGCCTGATCATTTGTTGAGTGAATTTCTTGCGAGTACAACTTATTAGAGTTGGAGTACACTTGGTAGCGGGATTTCCAGTTTGGGTTTGATTGTGTGTGCTGAAAAGAGGGACAATTGGTGTCAAGCGCTACGACGAATAATCGGTATGAGAAAAAGCGTGAATCGATTTTTAGCCTGGCAAAACTTGCAAATGAAGTGTTGATTTCACGCTACTATATTTCAATGGGTATTTCAGGTAAATCAATCGATGTAAAACAAAGTTCGACCAAAATTCGGCCAATCACTGGCCAAGCGCCATTTAAGGCTTTGTCGACAATAGAGTGTTTTAGCAAGTCTGTTTTCCTCACTTTTCAGACTTTAACTTCGTTTCGAATTTCGAAGACTTCAGACTTCACTCGAAATCTAGTCCGAAAAGCAAGGAAGTCAGCAGACTTTTCATGGTGAAGTCTGGAGAGTGCAAGCTCCTGCCTAGAGCCAATCAAATTGAGCCGTGACAGGTTGTAGGCCTTTACAACATGCCACAGACCAAATTGATTGACGATGGGCAAGGCCATGCAAAAGCAGCTTGCATGGAGCACCGACATGGATCTTGCCTTGCTT